CCTTAAGCTCGTGCTAATATGGAAAAATCAAAGCAACGATTGATCATATAAAGATTTTTATATATATATAAATATAAGAAAAAACAAATAAATTAGTTAACTTAATCACCTTGAATCAAGATTCCCGTTTTCGTCATTCACAACCAATTGTACGATCGGCGGTGGATCGATTGGACGTCGATCTTTTTCGCCGAACCCGCACATACGAGCACGTAGCGGCTGTTGACAAACTATCAACTTATATGTTCTACATGAAAATCGTGTAATTTTTATCTTGGGTCAATGAAGAACGACGAATAATCAATCAAATGTTGATTAACTGCAGTAATCCAGGAAAGTCACCGAGTATAATAATGATCTCAAGGATCAATTATTCCAAACTCATTCGTATAAAGGCGACAGCAGAAAATTTATCATGCTTTCGGAGAGGCGTACCTTTTGTCCTCCTCCTCTCCTCCGGCTGTTACATCAAAGATACCGAAACGATCTTTCCTGAATTTTATCCGTGAATTTGATGATACAGGAATTGAATTCTTAGTAGGAGAGAGAATTTTATTCTTATCACTATCTTCAAAAGTCGCTGCGGAAAGTGATGTATCAGCACTATTTGATTTTGTCCTCTTTGAATTACGGTCTTGATATTCGTCTGAATGTGATACTGGTATGCTTGGATTCATCGTTGTTGGGAGATACGTGGCATAATGTGGTGGATGGTGATAATCGTAATATATAGGATGATGCGGAGGATAGTACCCTTCAAGTGGAGGAGGATACTCGCCACGCCCAACGTTATGGTATTCGGTTCTTGGTACTCCGGTTTGTTGATGGTGTGACGGAGAGTTTCCATGTTGTTGACTGTACATTATGTAAAAATAAAGGTTTGGGTGGCGGATAAAAGTTTAGAGAGGATTTGGGACTAAAAGAAAAGCAAAAATATTGGGCTGCTGGATTTTGGGAGCCCTAAATTTATATGATTGCAAATATGAAACACCACAGGATAAAAATTCGGGAGGTTGCGGGTTTATTTATACGAAAGCAGGCAACACTCCCATATATGCAGGTATGCAGTCCTCTCAAAGAATGAGAATATCTTATAATATTTTGTGTATAAAAAAAAAAAAACAAATTATTGAATTCTTATTTAAAACAAATAAAAAACAAATAATAACAGGGAGATAAACGTTCTATCAATTTCCCCCTGGGAATATGTTGAACAATGAAATAATGAATATATATATATATATATATATCGTACTACACCACAAAGCTGTATGAGGTCGGAAAAACACCAATCCGGATTTACTGAACCTAAGCCCCATGCAAGTAGAAAACCTATTTTACAAATTCGCATCTGATTGAACTTCAATTATATCAATTCGTCTCTTGATCATCGTATGATTTTTTTAGGTTGCTTTTTTCAGCCGTTGGCAAAAAGATATCCTTTTTGAGACTTATAAATGATAGTTACAGTTACAGAATCTAGGATGGGCATATGCTGCGCTTAGTTTTTATAACAAAACGCGTTCTTTTTCTCATGATAAATGTTATTATTCATTGTATCGTCTCACAATAATAATGATTATTTCGCGTTCTTTAATTATTAAGAATAATGTACATGAATGACGTGCATTGAAAATGAAATTCTCGATTCTGCATTATTAAAAATTCAATTGATGATTTTTATTTGCTTTAGGCATTGTGCAAGATCTTGTGATTTATATAAATTACCGGGAAACCACTTTGTTCTCTCTAGAAAATAATATATACGTACGTAGTCAAATTGTGGAACTGTTTCCTAAGCCACTTTCCATTTAAAGGTGCTTTTGAAAGCGCGCGCTATCAACTTTGATCAATATTTTGTAGTACCAATAAATTCAGTAAACCCTGACAGAGTAAATTGCCGCCAACCTCCTATTCAAACTTTATTACAGTCGGTTAAGTCGTGCAACTTTCCTAACACGATAATATTGATCTTCGGCCATGTAAGTATACTCGCATATAATGCATTTACATCCATGATCTAGACGTTTCGTATTTTTTTGCACACAAATTATAAGAACTTCGAAATTCTATAATTGGCAAACAGGATGACCCAACTCTCGGGTTAAATATGCGCCGTTAAGCTTATTTCGGTTGCTTTTTCTTGAGAAAATTTTATTCAAATTTAATCAAATGATAAACTAATTTAAGCTTGATATTTTTTACGCTTGGCTGATTTCTTTGTCTTTAACTGGTCGCGAAATTATATGTTCGTAACGTTTCATAAATTTACGTATTATTCCACCGATATAATTTCACTACTAATAGCAAAGATAATTATAGTTGTAATCTCAAAATATACATGATATCAATTATAATATATACTTTATAATATTACTTTTCTTACTCAGATTCTTAATAAAATGAGAGCCATCTTTATATTTTGAATATTTATAATTACCAATACTTTAATTACCGAAGATTTTAAACATTTGTGGATGAAATATGCTTCTGAACTTTGTATCACCAGTAAATAGCTGCCATAAATTGCCGTATATCGTAATTCAAAGATTGAATAATATGGCAAAAAAATTTGTTGCAATATTCATCTCGTGAGATAAATATACCTATACCGGCGAGTGAAAAGTCTCTAAACAGAGCTTTTTGTACTAACCGCCAATATTAAAATTTTGATGTTAACGAAGATAGTAAAAAA